GTAATTCTTGTTTCCCACTGTCCCATTTTCCAATACACCACATTTCTGCACTGACAACTGGTAATTGCACGGCAGGATCTGAAACATTTTGGCAGTAGATCACAAAAACTCTTCAAGATGTAGGAGGAAACATGGGATTACACAAGAAATGGGAACACATTAGCCAGTTAACATGATCAGAAAATTAACATTCAAAAAGCCATTTACAGGTTTCAGAGTTAGAGTATTAAGAGAGAAACAATTCAAGAAGTTTAGAACTGTGGTTTCATATTGCTGGAAAACTCCACTATGACACTGTCTTCTCTTGTTCGTGTATTTACCTTGCCCATGAGTTACTTCTACCTTTAAATTGTGGAGCAAATTTCTGAAACACTACACCAGGCGCAAAACAGGGTCTGGTCTGTAACACACACTGGTCTGTCACAAGTGGGCTCCAAAAGTCAAGCAGCCCCTTTGGACTTGGTTTTACACAGCACAGGTCAAATCCCATCCATTCCCCTACCACATATAGCCCCATTTTCCATGTTTACAAGTCTGCAACGGTTCTGTCTGCAGCAACACCAGAATTGAGATGATGGCAAATAACGGACAGACAACGACAGAAAGAACATTTTTGGTTTAGTGTTTGCAATTTGTTTTACAGCTCATAATGAAATACTGTTAGAGATACTCTACATTCATACAGTTCTAGCAAAATACATTTTTAGAAACATAAGGCACTTTAAGACTTCCTAAAACAAATGCTCATGATAAAAATTCAACAAGAGGGCTGGATGAGAACCCTTTCTACCCTTAATGTTCAGGTCAGTAAATGATCAATCCTCTAGTCAAGCAGGCAAGTGAAATAATCAATAGAAAGGTTTCCAAGACAGAGTTACTGCTGTATTAGTGTGCATTCTGAAGGAGTCTATTTGAAGTATCTTCAGTTGGGGAGGGAGGGCATGGTGTGAATAAGATGCATTAAAATAGTTCTTTGAACTGGGTAACAAAGACACATTGCAGGGATTAAGTTCCATTACTTTCATTGGATTAAATTCCTTCCATTCATTATTGCCAACAAGAGTAAGGAACAAAAAGAAGCTGGTTCTCCCCTCCCTCCCCCCCACTCCCATTATAATTCAACACAAGATTTCAAAGACTTAAAATGACCAGGACATAAGCCCAAGAAAAACTGCATCTGGCCACTTCAGAGTATGTTTAAATATTCATTACTGACTTCCTCAAGTCTCACCTCTTATTAAAGAAAGAGAAACATAAAAGAACTGGCAACTGTATCGGTTGCTTCCAGTCAAATTGATATTTTGGTTCTTTTGAACACGACCCCACTGTTCACATGAAGCACCTGCATTCAGAAACGCACCAGCAGCTCCCCTTGGCAGAGAGCTGGCGGGGCAGAGGATGAATGCAGGCAGGGCCCCGGGCCCCGTGGGGAAGAGGGAATAAGCAACTTTGCTTCACACACTTGTGTCTCGACTTAAGAACGGTTTCAAAGGCTGGACATGCTGGGCTGCTGTAGCAACAAGGGGACCGAGACCAAAACACTGACTGAAGACTTCACTCGAGGGCGCATCTGTAGGAACTGAAATCCGCTATTTAAATCTGACAAAAAGAGCTATAATGCTGGCAAAACCGTTGTCTACTTCTCAGAGGCCATCGAGAAGGGGATGGTAGGAACTAGTCGCTACCATCCATCAGTGTATTTTCCAGTTGCGCCTTACCTATTTTATTGCCCAGTACATTTTCCAGTCTTCGGGGGCTAACAATTGCTGAAAAACTTGACTCCCGGGGGCTCAGTACATTAGGCACTGCAGTACAAACCTACATCGCTACTTCTCTCAAATCCACCTCCAAGGGGCAAAAACCTACCAACAACCCAGCCAACCAATCAACAACCATTTGTTTTTCTTACAAGCCTTCAATTGTTTTAAATTCTGACTTACTTGAATTGCACTTTAAAGCCCAGCAGCAAAAAGAAAACTTGCTAGCTATATTCAGGAACATATACGTAATTTTTTAAGATATAAACATTTTCTCAAGTCTAAAAATGCAGAGAGATATCAACTGCATAAGCTGTCAAGTTTTGACTTGGCTACAGTGAAGAAGCTGTGGCGAAAGATTAGCCTATCAGCCCTATTGGAACTGGGGCAGAAATGGGATGCCTGTTCAGTTAGGAAAGAAAACACAGTTAAGGATAGAGCTAAATTAGAGCCAGACACCACTGGTCTTAGCCCGTCACACACAGAGGTGCTACCGTGCAAACAGGAACTGTGGTGAACTCTAACTCTGTGAAGTGAAAAAATGCACGACTTCAAGACAGTTGCTGTTAAAGAGAAGAAAGGAAGGTGGTACCTTATGGCCCTGAGCTCAAAAGATCTTGAGATCTCAACCTGTGTGGCTCACATTCACTGGCAGAAGAGCCAAGCTCTAGATCACTCAGTTGCTCGCTGCTGTTATTCTAGCAGCCAATTTAGAATTGTGGCTCTCCAATCGGTTTACTGTCCTTCAGCACTAGTGTGACTATACTCACCTGGAGTGGGAAGAAGCACCTGAAGGAGGAGATGAAGAACAAAACACAGGCCACTCACTGTTCCAAATTTCACTACAGCATGCAGTTGGTTTCTCTTAAAATCTGTAGATTCTTCTTCCCAAGTAAACCTCACAGAATTTGTTAAAGTGACATCCAGTTACTTGTGCATATTGAAACCTTATTGCTTCTTAAAAACATAATTAAAAAAATAATTTGGAAAGGCACAGAGCATGTGCAATTTAGTTCCTTGTGGATCTGTGCGTGT